GCTGAGCTAAATCCCCAGCCCCTCCCTCCCCTTTTTTATTAAGTCAGAGTCTTGCTAAGTTGCCCAGGCAGGGCTTAAACTTGGGATCCTCCTGCCTCAGCCTCCCACAGTGCTGGATGACAGGCGTGTGCCCGGCACCAGGCGAGGAACACCTACCTCGTACGGGTGCGAAGTCCCCGGGGCTCTCAGCTTTGTTGAAGGCGAAGGGGCTGATTGATGGGAGGATGATGAGGGCGCATGACAACAGCAAGACCTGCAGGAGATGGGCCAGGGTCACCCCATCCCTCCTGTGCCCAGAAGGGGAACTGAGGCACAGGAGAGCAGAGGATCAAGCTTGCGCTGGACTGAAAGTCTGCTCCCCTCCTGTGCCATTGCCACGACCCCCCGCTGAGGCCGGAACCCCCCACTGTGCCGGGCAGGGACTCACAGCGATGCAGGTGCCCGTCGGGGCGGACTTGCCAGTGGACTGCACCACGAGCGCCTGGAGTTTCTTCAGCTGCTCCAAGAGGGACCTCAGAGGAAGGAGAGGCCGCAGTTCTCACTGCATAGCCCAGGCTGGCCTCAAACTCACAGTGATCCTCCTGCCTCAGCCTCCTGAGTGCTGGGATGACAGGCATGCGCCACCACACCCGGCCAAGGTCCTCCATCATAATTGAAGTCAAAGTCCTCCCTGCAGCCCACAGTCCCCTCTTCACCTCCCCTCCTCCCTCTGCTGCAGCCACGCAGCCTTCTTACTGTTCTGTACCATCGGGCTCCATGCTGCCCCAGGGCCTTTGCACGGCTGTGCCCTATATGCTAAGGACACTGCTCCCCTAGATACTGTGTAGCTGGTTCTTTCTCATCCTTCTCAGTGAAGCCTCAGGGCCTCCCTGTCTGCAGTGACCCCTCCTGGCCCTCTAACACTTGACCCCATTTGGCTTTGCTCCCAAGCAGAATTATTGTCTAGGATTTTGTGCGTGGTGAGCACATCACTCCGTGGACTGTGGATCCTCCCAGTAGAGAGACTGTCTGCTGCTCTGCTCCGTGCTGTGGCCCCATTGCCCAGAACTTTGCTGGGTACACAGCAGAGGCTAAATTAACATGGAGTAAACAGGTGTACCTCTTCTGTCATTGGGACAGAATGAGGTGTAGCCTCCAGCACAACTCACTGCCAGCCTCTACCTGGTGCATACACTGTCTCCACCACCTTCTCCCTAGCAAACTCTTACACACCTGTCAAAACCCTTAGTCCAAATCCCCTCTCTGCAGCCTGCATCCTTCATTTATTTATTTATTTTTTTGTGTGTGTTTTGTTTT